TTGACCTAAAATTTTCACTCAAGGAAATTATCCTGCAGATACATTCAAACAATACAAAGAAATATATGCACAAGAAACAGTCTACTGATACTGTTTCTATCATAAATAAAGCAATCGGAATATTTATCATTGGGGCTAGAGTTAATTAAATTATGACATAATCATAAAGTAGAATTTTATGTAGCCATTAAAAAGAATGAGGTAGCTTTTCTTGTGTTGACATAAAAACATCTCCAAGACCGACATTGTTAGCTTTTTTTTATAAGCACTGGACAGCATTACAATATGTTACTGTTTGTGTCTTGACACATTAGAATACATATAAACAAAAATGGAAATAGATACATATATGCACACATATAACATAGGTACATGAACATATAAAATGTATGTAGAAATTTTCTTAAAGAATAATGAGAAACTATTGATGATTGTTCCTTCAAGAAAATTGTTTCTTCAGGAAACTTGGTTTTCATTATTCACTGTATTGCACGAGTTAAATATTGCAAGCATGTGCTTCCTCTGTACAGTCACAGGATCTTCACGGAACCAGCTAAGAGCAGCTAAACTAAAATTCCCATGGTGAAAGATGTGAACACAAATCCACTGGAATGTCTTTTTCTTCCAAGAAGCTTTGCAAAACTAACTTCAAGGTAGGTTTTCCATTCTAGATCTGTAAGAAAATTCAAAACAATAGTTGTAAGGTATCTTGATTTCTTTTTCCTGACTCTAGATTCCAGTAACTTATAAAGTATGGAGACTTTTGTGATTAATTTCACATGGTAATACCAGAGACATCTTTACCTTGCTTATGGTATCATAGAGTGGATTGTTCTTCTCTGTGTAGGAAGCATAGGGCTGCATTTCATCCTAAGAAAGAATCCAAAGCCAAAAGCAATTCAAAAATGTCAGAAGTTATTTCAGAAACTGTTTGTGGTCTTTCTACCAGTACATATAGTTTGAGCATCTACCAACAGTGCTGGTATTGGTGTCTCTGGACTGCTATGAACATAGAATAAGTCTTTGTCTTAATATCTCATCAAAAAATATTTGCTGATTACTTATATCTGTTAATAAGATGATGTTTGTGTGAAAGTAGAAATGGAGAAGAATGAAGTCGCAGGAGAAGAATTTCAAAGGACCTAGTCAAAGGCTTAGTAAGCAAATAGTTATAAGAGATTAAGTAGCAGGGTATGTTTCAAGTTTTGAGTAAGAGGAAAATGAAAATGGCTTCAAAAAAGCAAAGGCAAGAATTAGAGATGGCTCCATGAAAGAGGAAACACCAATTGAGTTTCTCCTAAGATCACTTTCCAAATAATGCAAAGGTCATGTAATCAGGATGAAGTGTGAGATGCAAATGTGGATTTGAGGTAATAGATAACCAGCATGTGATAGATAATTAGCAAAAGAAGTATCCTTAACTATTGGTATATAATATCAGAACTTTTTAGTTTTTCAGCTAAAATATTAATATTCATGCAAATTACAAAAAGCTAGATTTTCAAACTGTGTATTTAAAGTTTATAAATTTTTTCATCTTACCTCCTCAACAACAGGATTAGCTGCTGATTTTTTAAGCTTACATTGCCTATAAAAATAAAATATGCTAGAATGAATATAAAAAACATGTTTAGGTAGAAAATAAAAAATAACTTGTATTGTTGAAAATTATGGTTCATTTTTAAAGAAGACCTATTAAGTTAGAAGTAAACTACCAGAAATGAATGAAGAATGTTGCTTGGGGCTAATACATACCCAAATAAGAAAATTCTGGACATTGGAAAAAGAAGTAAAATTATGCAAAAAAAAATAAAAAAAAATAAAAAAAAGAAGTAAAATTATGCAACAGGAGCTTGATATAATAGAATATATATGGCATGAAATAAATTATTGTAATTATCTCCCACATAAAAATATTAGTATGCATTGCTTTTCCCAAGATTCTGACCTAGCTGACCTGATCGACCATGTTGGCTGGCACGTGAAGCCAGCAAAATCTCTCTCCTTATTGAAAATAATCCAGTAAAGAATGAAGACCCAATCTGATTATGAGAGAATTTAAGATAGCATTTCTAATTTACCCAGTCACTTCCCTATTTCTTATTCTTCTAGTCCAACAAACATAAAACAGAAAACATTTTAATCATTCAATACCTGAAAACCTTTATTTTGAAAAACAAGACTGAGCCCACGATGATCAAAAGAATACAAATAGAAGGAATGATGAATTTAATATATAAGTCTTTTGATTCTGAGATACCTGTAACCAGAGACATAAAAGTATATATAGTACACATGAGGTAAATCAAAACAATGAAATATAATTCTATGCAAAAGGAAAAAAAAGTCAACTCATGATAAAACATGAATAAAACAAAATGCTGATTATTAAGTGAAGCAAGATAATCTGCAAGGGTTACCTAATGCATACCTGCAGCGCTATGATACTGTGAGAAAGGAAATACTAGGAAGACAGTAAAAAGATGAGTGGTTGCCAGGGTAGAAGGAGGGGTAGATAAAAAGGTGCAGCACTGAGGGTTTTTATAGTGGTGATCCTGTTTTGATGCCATGAGGAAGATACCTGTCTTTATATACTTGTGCAAACCCATAAACTTTACCTCACCAAGAGCCAACCCTAATGGACACTGGACTTTGGGTAAGAAGGATGAGTGCACGTGGGTTCAGCGATTGCACTAAATGTAACAGTGAGTTGCAAGAGTCCACAGCAGGGAGGTGGGGCCTGGGTGGGCCCAAGGGCTCCATGAGAACTTTCTGAACTTGCCACTCAGTTTTACTGTGAACTCTCCTAAAACTAAATTTTATTCAAAAACCCAAATATGCATGGTTCAAGGAGGTCTCACAGTATACGAAATTCATTTCTGTCATTTTATTTGAAACACTTCTAAATGGTTCTGTCAGTGCAGACCCTGGAGTTTCCAGCAGGACAGCATCTCAGTCAGGTCTTGCTGCTTTAAGGATTCATGAATGGAGAATCCCTGTAAGAGAGATGTGAAACACATCCCCCATTGGTACAGTAAGAGCAAAAAGGTTTTTTCCTCTCCAATATCAGAACTAAATGGGCTTGTTTTGTTGCTTTTGCTGTGTTCTGTCACTGTGAACTTTTGCCCCTCTGCCATGTGCCACCATGCCTTCAAGCCAGCTGATTATGGACTGAATTTTGCACAAACTATGAGCTAAATAAACCTTTCCCACCTAAAAATAAATAAATAAATAAATAAATAAATAGGTTATCATATGGATGATAATTGGAAAAATAACCCTAATTCTGAAGTTACTTTATGCTAAGGCATTGAAACTAAAATGAATGATGGCCGCAAATGCAAATTATCTGTAAACTGCTGGCCACAGCAAGAGCTCAGTCTAAGTGCATCCATGAATGTGGTTGAAGGGCCACAGAATGGAGGGAAGGAGAGGCAGAGCAAGCTTTGGTCCAGTCCTTCCATCCGTTTTTAAATCCTGGATTTCTCAGTGTTTTATTTTCAAAGGTTTGGGTTTACTCCTAAAAAACACCAGTAACATTGTTTTCAAACTTTCAAGCTAACGAATCTCCCTCATTGGATGTGCAAAGAAGACAGGAAATCCCTGTACCTGCAGGAGTCTGGCCTCCCGGGTCTTCCAGCTCCAGTAGTCTGTAAAACTGATATCTTATGGTAACACGAGGCGGGAGTTCACACATGGCCAAGGCACAATTAATATTCTCTATAAAAACTTCATTTTAAAAATCGTTTGGGGAATAATTTTTTTTTTTTTTCAAAACTGGGCAGCTGGGCTGGCCAGACAGCTCAACGGATTAAAGTGCCTGCTTAGGCAGATGTAGAGGTTTGACCCCTAGCCTGCTGTGCCGTCCCTGCCCCCGGGGCGCAATGAGACCAGGTGCGGAGGCACACGCCTGTAATCCCAGTGGTTTTTTTTGTTTGTTTGTTTGTTTGTTTGTTTGTTTGTTTGTGGAACCGGGGATTGAACTCAGGTCCTTGAGTCTGCCAGGGAAGGGCTTACTCCACTGAGCCATCTTCCCGGCCCAATCCCAGTGTTTTAGGAACCTGAAAACAGGAGGATCACTACAAGTCCGATGTGTATAGTGAGACCTGTAGACCCTGTACTAAACACATAAAAACAAAAAAACTGGGCATCGATCCCAATTTTAATCTACCCACGTCCCTGGCATGTTTGTTTGTTTCCTTATAGACAGGATCTCACTAAGTAGCCCAGGCTGAGTTTAAACTTCTGGTCCTCATGCAATGTCCTCAGTGTGCCACCATCCACAGCTGGGAATGAATATTTTTAATGATGGTTTTAACACATAATTTTCCTTCTCCTTTTTAAAATGAATAAAGTATTAGTAAGGAAAAAAATTAAATGCAGACATTCAAGAACAAATAGAAAAGAAATGAGGACAAAAATATAGTAAAGATTTTAATCTGTTTAGATGAAAAATAAATATGAATGACAGTGAGTAATTTATAAAATAGAACAAGAGAGAACCTTCCTGCTCAGGAAAGCCCAAAAGAGTAGAAGAAATCACATATGACAAAAGAGATGAAGTAGTTTAAATGATCTTGGCAAGAAGAAATGACAACATTTCGAGGTAACAAATATGTTAAATACTATCAATGATCATTTTTCTAAAATAAGACTTAAGAGAGATATGGCTGAAAAAGCAGCAAATGGGCACGTAGTAGGTATGGTGAAGCATAAAGCTACACGCTGTGTTACTTTGAAAGTCTGCATTAAAGCACACAGGTTCTCAAATCCTCTGTCCACTCTGTGAGCACATCTTCCCTCACCAGCAGATAAGAAGGGAGTCTAGTCTCAAGAAGATGAACTGGGGGCTTCACAGTCAAAGGTCCAGACAGCATGGATTGGACAGGAAGGGCCACATTGAAGAACAATATTAGAGGTAAGTGTGAGCACTGAACAGTAGAATGCATACGCGCACACACACACACACACACACACACACACACATTCACTCTCCCTCCCAGAGCAGTAGCTGTAAGGCTTATCCTTCCAAGGCAAAGGACTGGAGACTTACTCCCTGAAGAGCCCCAACAGTCCCAAGGAAAAGCAGATACACGAGGATCTCTAATTATGGCAAAACAAAATCCATTCATTTCTTTCTCTCCTTATTGACATCAACCAGTTGACAAGTCTTGCAATCATATAGTCAGACTTGTAATCATCTCTTTCATGTTCAATTGGAATCCATTGACAGCCAAGGATTACCAAAGAGAGTATACAAAAGAGATCTTAAATAGACAAATGGTAGAAGGCAGTGGAAACTCAGATTAAATATACACAGGACCAAGCAGAGGATCGAGGCAAGAGACCATGCAGGCCAAGAACTGTGCAACACATCACGTGACCAATCAGGACACCTGATGAGCCCAAGACCATGGAAAAATTCAAGAAAGAATGACCTCAAAAAAAAATGGAAGCTATAGATTACCTAAATCTGACCTATAGAAAGCAATTAGTAGTTCTTTAATTCTGAGATTCACGTTAATTCACAATAAGAACATAATGGGTAGCTTTAAAAAGTAAAGTAACTATGAAAACTATGAGAAAAAATAAAAAGAGAAAGCATGTGTTGATTGAATTAATCTTATTTGAATATTCAAATTAATACACACATCAGCTATTTGAGCTAATAAAAATTGCTAATGAGGGAAGGAATAAGGTAACACTAAATGCTCATCATTATAAGAGGAAGTGACTACACAATGACTAAATTTGATAAGCAAAAAACAGCACTATGTGCATGTGGCTTAGGAAGATGGAGTTAAGTACTACAAACAACACTTGAAGATTTGAAAGTACTGGACTGGGAGTTGAATGAAGACAGAGAAGGGCTTGGAAAGACAAGGATTATGCTGGAAGTTTTTAGTTAGGTCCTTATAAGCAATTTAACTTTAAACTATGTATATTATACTGATTGAAGTAATATTTTTAAATGACAAGAAATGAAAGTAGAATAGAAGTAGACAATAGAGAAACTAAATCACACATGTTATTATAAGACATTGAAGAAGTTCCACCAGGAAGAACCTACAGGAGAAAAATATACCAGAAAACTAATTCATGAAGATAATTTATGAGTAAAATATCCTTCTCATAAAGCTATAAGTATCTATTTGAAGTCATCCTGTATACCTCAGTTAAAACTACAAGTATTCTTTTAAAACACACTTCTTAAGTTAACTTAATACTTGTATAGAAGCAACCATATTAGTGGAATAAACTGCATCCTACAATATGGATTTTTACAAAACAGTTCTGTAATATCCTTCTAAAAATTATCCTCTATTTTAGAAGGAGAGGCAAGATAAATGGAAGCTGAGAGAGCATCTTTGAAGGAAATTTCTCTACACATTTTTTTCCTTGTCTCCAGTAAAAGAATGGGGGAAAGCCCACAAAACCTAAAAGAATTACTAACCAGAAGGCAGAAAAACTTCAGAGAGACTCCTGTTCCCAGTCGAATGGGAGACCAGGCAGGTCACAGCAGACACATTGCTGTCTGGATAGCGGCAGGCACTTCTGACCGTCACTGTGCCATTGCTGTGCCCTTCCTTCATGGTCACACAGTGCCCAGATGGAATCCAGGAGATCCGTGCAGCTGGCCTGCCTGCCACTGCCTCACACACCGCTGTCTGATTCTTGCTGAGGAAGATGTTGGCTTCAGGGCGCACTGCAGAGATGAGAGGAAACTTATGCTTCAGCCTTAAGATCAGAGATGAAGCTTAGAGTGATGAGCTATATCACAATATATGACCTCCCTTACCTAGCACTTGGAGTTCATAGTGATGCTGGAAATACCCACTATATGTTGCTGCTTCACAGGTGTAATTTCCATCATGTGCGACAGCAACTGCATTAATCTGGAGGTGAGGACTCAGGTCAGGTCTGGAGACCCACGTGATTCCGTCATCAGTACAGTTGTTGCTGGTCTCATTTGTTTGTTTTTTATAAGCTCTCATGCAGATAGGCTGGCCTCTGAGGGTGATTTTCCATGTTATTAACTCCAAGGTTGTCAACGGGACAGAAGAGCAGCAGAGCACAGCCGTTGAGCCCATCTCTACTGACAGCGTAGTGTTAACTGGACAGATACACACACACACACACACACACACACACACACAAAGAAATGAGAAAAACAAGCTTCATAAAGATCTTTGTATGTTAACATTTATCCACAACAGATAACCTCAAATTGTATTACAACACTGCTTTATTGGTGATCATATCAGAAATATGAGAATTATACAAAAAATGAATATTCCTAAAGTATATAT